CGCAAAGTGAGGGATTGCCCACAAAAAACACTGCTGGAGCAGGAAGGGTTATAATGTAACTGTCACTAAGGTAGCAGGGAACCCAAAGTGAATGTCTAGCGCAGGGGTGGGAAACCTCCGGCCCTCCAGCTGTGGCGAAACTACAAATCCCATGATGCACCTGTCTCTGGGAGTCATGCCTGTCAGAATCTTGCAATGCATCATGGGATTTGAAGTTTCACCACAGCTGGAAGGCCAGAGGTTCCCTACCCCTGGTCTAGAGGATAACAGAGGTGGCGCACAGGCAGGAGAGGTAAGCATCCACCATTTCCAAGATGAGCCAAACGATGCAGTGACACAGGGAGACCTGCGCAGGAGCACCACAGCCCGCACAGACTCTGTACAGACTCTGTACAGGTCCGTGCCAAATTCAAAACCTTACAGCTCGTCTTCATGCCACCAACTCTGCTACAGCCAGAGCATAAGGTATTAATACCTTAGAGCAGGGGTCAGCAACCTTAAACACTCAAAGAGCCATTTGGACCCGTTTCCCACAGAAAAGAAAACTCCGGGAGCCACAAAACCCTTTTGACATCTAAAATTAAGATAACCTGTCATATATCGTTTTTTACCTTTATGCTCTGTATAGCATGTATATAGCTATATGTGGGCTTAGTAACGCACTGGCCTCTGGGCTTAGTAACGCACTGGCCTCTGGGCTTAGTAACGCACTGGCCTCTGGGCTTAGTAACGCACTGGCCTCTGGGCTTAGTAACGCACTGGCCTCTGGGCTTAGTAACGCACTGGCCTCTGGGCTTAGTAACGCACTGGCCTCTGGGCTTAGTAACGCACTGGCCTCTGGGCTTAGTAACGCACTGGCCTCTGGGCTTAGTAACGCACTGGCCTCTGGGCTTAGTAACGCACTGGCCTCTGGGCTTAGTAACGCACTGGACTCTGGGCTTAGTAACGCACTCCACCCAAACCCCCGCGCTCCTCATTCGAACTCCCCTGCCAAGCCTCACAGCCAGCACCCCAGCCAGGCGGTGTGCACTGCAGGGGGCGGGGCATGTGACACACACTTCTCCTCTCCCACCGCCTGTTACTAGGGATGTGGCCAGGAGAGGAGGTGAGTCACAAGACCCGACCCTTACTGAGAAGCCAGTCAGCAGTGCGGGGCCCTGGGACCCTGCACTGCCGCATATTCCACCGGGGGGTGCCCAGGACCGGACCTCACTGGGCCACCCCCCACAGCCTGAGGCCCCAGGAGTAGTTCCACCCCTGGACAGGGAGCCGCAGCAGAGGGATGAAAGAGCCACATGCGGCTCCGGAGCCGCAGGTTGCTGACCCCTGCCTTAGAGAAAGAACCGAAGCAAGCAAAGCACCACCAGGCTTCAGGGGTAGGGTTCCACCAGATTATTACACTATGGCCCTGGAAATGTGCTCTGTGCCTGACCCACACATTGCACTCAGGTGTCTAGAAGAGAGTTTTCAGCAGAGTCCAATGCCCACAAGACACATTACAGAGGAGTTCCGCTTCATGCTCACAGCAGGGTCCAAGTACGGCCCCAGAGGAGAGGAGATATCCATTCTAGGACACCAGCTAAAAACTGGTGCCTGATAGGAGTAGTAGGGGTCATACTAGCTGTGCTTAAAGCTTTGTCTGCCAATGTCCAACCTTCTGAAGGTGACAGCAGCACAACCCAATATACCTTATTTCACCCTGTCTGGAGTTCCAAATTGCAGGGTGGTCTAAAACACAAATGTCAGCCTGCTTTCCTGTACACCACATACATGAACTTCTGTTATTTCATATTTTTTAGTTTGTTAAGCACTTTGTTATACGTTTAATAAATGCACAAAAATACCTCTTCCAAAAACCTTGTCAGCTAATAACTTCCTGTGCCCTCATGCCTATGCGGCACTCTTGTCAGGTACATTGTTCTTAGCTATCTCCGTGGATTACAGAACCTCCTCTCTGTTATGGAAAAAAGAGAAGAGGGGGCTCTTGTAGTCCTGTCCTAGAAATGGTAAGCTGCCATGTATTAAAATGTTGTACTTGAGTCTATATACACCTTAGATACTGACATGGCACCACCACTTCCTGCAGTTTAGTAATGGCCTATTGCTGTTGGGGGTGGCCTTACTGGAAAGCATGAGAGAAATGACAGGGCCAGAGTGGTGACCAGAAACGATGGTTGCAAACAGAGTGCCCCAGGATTCAGGTTCCCAGTACAATAAATAGGAATATTAAGCAGCACACATCTGGGAGGTGCCCTCTGTGGTGCGGTGCTGATCCAGTGGAAGGTTCACTTTAAAATCTGTTGTTTTAATTTGCATCAATTTGAGCACTGAAGTCTCGTAGTCACAAAGGCCAGATATACAGCTCAGTGCGAATGCTACAAAAGGGTGACTTTGGACTATGGCTCTGCTTCGTACCGCAATGTGTTCTAAATACCATCAGCCGAGCCGACATTTCCTTAATTTGGGCGACCCTTCCCACCTAGAGCAGCACAACAATTTGCAGGTTTCTGGGGGTGGTGGAGAGAAATAAAGCACAATAACACACAACATAAACAAGAGCCCGCAGTACATTTAAACAAGTTAAGGTCTACAAGCTTTATTGATACTTGTTTTTTTGTTTGTTTTTACATATCACAATGCATTCCAAAGACTTGCTTCAGCACATTCCTGCAGCTGGGTAACATTTTACGTTCTTGCAACGAGATTGACTTTTGTTTTTTCTCTTAAACAAATTTGCAGCGTTTAGTACTCGGTTACAGAAAGTTCAAGTGACTGTAAATGTGGTTGTGCAAACCCAACTACTGAGCGACGATGTGTAAGTTCCTATATTGGTATACATAACTGTTCATTAAACAGACAATAGTGTTCCTAGAAAGAGTTTTTTTTTTGTTTTTTCCTTTAAGTTAACTTTGTGTGTATGTGCTATGGAGCTAGCGGTTAGAATGTCATTTCAATCCTAAAAATAAAAAAAGCACTGTGGGAGCTAGGCTCTCGGAAAACACTATAGATATTGGCAATTGATAAAACAATAAAATCACAAGATAGAGCTACCATCATACCGAACAGAAGCCATGTTGTCTCTAGGTATGATCACAAGGGGGTTTGTTCAGCAGCTCGTTCAGGGCAGAAGAACCATTGATGTATGACGCCATGCACCAAAACCACTTTCTACGCTGAAGGGCTACAAAATGGATATCTCAACTTACTCTTCATACACAGTGCAAGTATTGATTAACATTATGCCCGTGAAAGCGCAGTAAGACTACTTCGGAAGCACAATATACAGCATGCTAGAAAACAAAACAAAAAAAGTTCTGTATTAAACGGTGCTTCACACAGGAGAAGAAACAGAAAATAGTTTCAAACCCATACATAGCAGCTTACAATACTCAGAATGAAACACATGGCAGTAAAACAGTTGTTTCGATCCTTAAACACTGCATTGCAGAAAAAAAAAAAATATTAAAATAAAAAGTAGAGATCTGGGAAAATGCACTGCAATGTCAAGGCTGGTCTTTCCCTGACCCACCCCAAGTCATCCAAATACACAGCCCTCAAATTCAGAGGCTCCTATTGGTATCTGCGGCAAACTTGATTTTTAGTAGCAGTTATTCAGCTTTGCGTTTCAGTCCAGGGATTTTTGCCAGGATTCTGTGCAAGAGAAAGAAAACGGAACATCATTAAGAGGGCATTACACAGTATACCCCAAAATGCTTTAAAAAAAAACAAACACAGATTGTGTACACAAGAATGTTTCTGGTAACTGGTATCCCATCTACTGCCCAGTACATAAAACCATACTGGAGAGCACCTGTCTGCCGGTGTACCACCCCAGATACGAGGATGATGTGCACAATATACATTATATCACCATGTTTATGGACACCGAACCATGCCACCTGGCAGAAAGTATGTGGACCCCCCTGCAAATTAAGTTTTGATGTCCAGTGAAGGGAACTGTTGAAGCGGACCTTTACCCAGATCTTTAAAAATAACACACACCTTTAGAAATGTTTAGTAACGACAATCTACAAGCACCCAGTCTTCTGACAGTGGCCATGTTTACTAAGGGCAGAGGACTAGATCTCCTATTACTTCCTGGCACATGTGACTAGGACATGTGATCATGCACATCATCTCAGGGGAGAAAAATGCCTTTAGTAATCGTGAGATTGCAGATAAGATTTTCCAGCAATGTTCTGCTGATGACAATCCCAGTGTGTAATGTGTTGACAAACTGAAGTCATTTTGCCTTTTCAAAGCAGGAAGTGAACGTATTTCATAATCGCAGAATTTTACACCCGACATGTCTGTTATTATTAATCCTCATACATAGAGGGATGCATTGGTAGAATTTGATTTGTGTAATGCTACAAAATACATTTTAAACATTTCGGCAATCCTAACTTTGTGACAACAGTTTTGGGAAGGACTATTTCTGTTCCAGCATGACTGTGCACAAAGCCAGGTCCATAAAGACTATGTCTAATGGGTTTGGAGTGGAGGAAGTCAAGTGGTCTGTACAGAGTCCAGACCTCAAGCCCTTTTGAACACCTTTAGGATGAATCAGATTAAGGAGACAGATCTTCTTGTCCAGTGTATCACCCCACAAATGATCTTTGCACATACATTTGTGGAAAAGCAGAGATCAAAACTAGCCAAGAAAAGTAAAAATTCTCCCTCTTTCAGTACCCATAGATCATGAATTCCTATAATTCAGAACTAGGGGTTTAGGTAATCTGAGCAAATAACATGAGAAGTCCAGAGGCAGAACCGCAATGATTCTCTACTGGATTCCCAGAGATGTATAGATAAGCAGTTGCCTCAGACACCGAACATCGATCTTGTTACCGGGCAGAACAGAAGATGATTTGTGATGTGGACAGCCACAAATGTGTCCAATGATGAATATGATCAGTGAAGAAAGTTCTTATAGACAATAAGACTTTAGTGTATTTAGGATTTCAGGATTTACTGAAGGTTATGTGCCAAATGACATCAATGGTGAACAAATGTATGAAAAAAAGCCAAACTGGAAGGGCCCATTCAGATGTGTTCTGCATGAATCCAGTATTATGGTGCGTTACATGCACTGTGTGTTAAGTCATTTTGAACAAGCTTACAATGCACTGTAATGCACACCTGACCTTATTTTAATGCAGCGTAAATAAAGCACACTGTGCGTTGTGGTGCAGTATGATTGCACTGCCAGCTACTATAAAAGGTTGTTTGGACGTCATTGCAAAATGAATAGCACTGTAACTCAGTGTTTACCGCAATACATAGATGGGGATCAGTCCTAAGTGGGGAGATCTCTTCACAAAGAACCATGTCCTTTATATGCAGGCCGCTATCTTATTAGCCCTGCCCTCCACAACCACGTTTTCTATTAAATGATCCAGATTTATCAGGACTGAGCTACACAAAACATTACAGAAGCTGCATCACACAAAGTACAGCACAAAGAACACTTACAAGTCTTTTACATTGTTGAAATTCTTGCTTATGAGTGCTATATAGTGATCCACTTTAGTCTGCAAAAAAGAAAACAATTCTCTTAGAAAACAAAAAAGGTGGGAAGACTGGTAATAACAAAGCAGGACGTTCAGCATCTGCCAGTGAGAAAAAGCACGCAATTTAGCTTCTCTATCCTAAACAGCATCACAACATCCCAAAATTCAGCCCATACAAGACTGTTGTCCATGGAGCACTGAACTCAGGAGCCCCTGTGTGTTATAAGTAGCCACAGCTCCAAGATCGCTCCCGTGATAACTAAACATGAGATTGTAATCTAATTTGTACTGAAGTTATATTCCATCACAGGAGTGAGTTTGGAGCGGTGACTTGTTTACAACACACACAGAGACCATGGAGAACAAAAGTAGCCACCCTCCGGAAGAAAGGACAGTGTCAGCATGCATTCAGAGATGATTTGAGGATCTACAGCCAAGAGAGGCACAACAAGATCCAGTACTGTTAATAGTTTGGGTACGTTAATGTATTTTTAAGATTAAAACACCTGAGTTTACTGTCACTAACTAAAAAGGAGAACCATGAGTGCTTTTCACTCACCTCATAGTTCTAGCCGACCTGTGACAATGAGACTGTCACAGGTCGGCTAAGTAGATCGGGAAGTGAGCGAACACATACCGGCGTTCGCTCACCTCTCCATCCTGTCACGGCTCTCTGCCTTGACAGAGGAGAGGCTGGATTCCCCCCTCCCCGCTCCGATCCTCCAGTGCTGACTGGCAGAACGGACAGGGAGAGTGAAGCCGTCTCTGCCTCTAGATAGGCAGAGCCAGCTGTCAGTCACGCAGCTGGGCGGATCCAGACATAATTGTCGGGATCCGCTTCGGCGTCTCAGTATACCGCGAGCTACAGCTCGCGGTATACTGAGCCTAGGGTGACGGGAGGGCCCTAGTTTGTGTCCTCCCGTTACCCTGAGAACTATGGGGAAAAGCCTTAACCCCATAGTTCTCCTTTAAGTCATGTTAAACAGTCTTACTGAGATGGATAAATGGCAAGACTATGGGCCATGCACACAAAACTAGAGCACCATCTCTAGGAAATAGAAGTATTTCAACCCTTCTAGCAAGAGAATTAAAGCCTTACACTTTTTATGTTTAGATCGTAAATGCTTGTCAGGTTTTAACTCCTTTGTGACAGGAGACGTACACTGTACTTCCCGTCACAAAGTGCCTATATGGCTGGCCACGTACACTGTACGTGACGGGTTATTTAAGGCTCTGTAATGATTCTCAGCGGTTACCAATCATTATTTAATGCCTCAAAAAAAATTTAAAAAAAGTGTGTCAGTCATTTATGAACAGAAACGGAATACTAGCTCAGTCATGAAGGGGCTAATGTTTTTCCTCATTGTTTTAGGGAGAGGTCTCATCACTTTGCTAGGACAGGAAGACAGACAGCAATCATAACCTGACAAGGTAAAAATGTTCTTATCCTGAAATGTAAACTAATGCAGCCACCAAATGGAAGAAGGGCTGGTGAGCTGCAAGTTACATTTTGAGTAACCGCTAGTCACCAAAGTATGAGTACCCTCCATTATTTTTCTGAGGTTCACTTACCTGATGTCTTTCATAAATTACAGGAATACTGAACAGAGAAATCAGTGCTAAAAATGAAAAGAAAAGATGTCAGATACAAAATATTCAGTAGTTCCGGGCTCAGGAAAATGTCACACACAAAAAAGTTATGCTCACTTAGATATTAGGAGCTGTACTCAAACATTTTCTAGTATAGGAATGAAAGCACAACTAAAGCAGGAAGAATTTCATACACAGACATACAAGTGAGCAAAAGGCAGTCTCCTAGATCACTTCTTACAGAACTTTTACCATAAGAAAGGATTTTTAGAGCCAACAGTTCACAAATCCTGTGTTATGCACATCAGAGGACACCCTGTGTCTACGGAGAATATACCCAGGCAGAGTGATCTCTAATGTTACGTTTAGGAGCCACACTTGCCTCTCAGCTCTGCTGTGGGAACCTCAACAGGTATTTAGTATCATGAGGTCTTCTATATCTCCACAATATATGACAAGCGAGGTCTTATCTTATTTCTGCCATATTACAATTATATCATTTGGGGGCCTTTCTTGTATTTACGGTTACAAACTGTATGGTGAATGTGGCTTGCAAGCTGAGAAGGAGATTTTTAACTTTCCCTAAACTCCTTCTCTTGGAGTACATGAAGCACTTCAGTACCAGATGTTTATATACGTATGTCGGTATGGAAGTGGTTAAAACCAAGATCACAGCTGCTGCAGCACTTCTCTTCAGCCGGCTCCTTGCTTTCACATACAAGTGATCAGGCAGCTGTAGAGCTGCCCGATTACTTGTGTAGCTTCAAAGTGGGCCGTCCTCTTGTTAGTGCCTTATGTGATAGCAATAGTTATGTGTAGGACATTTAAGTGACATCTTTCTCCCCCCCGTAAACACACAAACACACATTATACTAAACCACATGCGGAAACCACTGCAACACATGTTACATATAATTCTAGGGTCATCGCTCACTGGTAACTCCAAATTGATGAGCAGAAAAAAGATTTTAAAACCTCACCAATGGACAATTTGGGGTACTGTAGTTTCGTTGCCATTTTACAGGCACGCGCAATCTTAAGGCTTGCATGTTTGGTAGCTACCTACTAAACGCAACCCCATCTTTTAGATTTCACATTATATTGCGTTTGTGTGCACTAAATTGAATTGGGTATTTTCCACTACTTCCATTTTCCACTACTTCCATTTTCCACTACTGATTTGATAAAACATTTGTACAAATATTGTGCAATAACAAAAAATTCCAACTAGCACATTTTTATCCCACAGGGGGCTTTTCTGTCAGAAAATATATAATTTGGGGGTTGTAAGCGGTTTTCTAGCCAGAAATTCAGATTTTAACATGTGTGAAAAATGACTTACCACAACAATTTTGTAAAGAGGTTAAAGGACACAGGATGAAAAAAAGCTGTAAGGCCAGTCCAGCATGGCTCCGTTTTGTAGTAAACAAAAGTAGGAGTAAGTCATAAGAACGACACTATTTACACCATTGAGAACTTCCTGGGATGAAGCTTTCTTGCCTCGCACCAAGAAAAGACCCGTGCCCCTTAATGTACTCCAAGAAAAGCATTTTACAGTGGGTTAAAAATCCTATTTTCTTAAATCACAGCATTAAAAAGGGACACAGGACAAAGTATTAAGACACACTAAAACACCTAAAAGCAGTCCAACTTAAGGGTGGGCAAGAACAAAACAAAAAGCCATCAGGCCCACAAAACCCAACAAATTAAACACAGATACCTCCTCAGCAGAGACTACAGAGCCGCTGAAGAACCCTAAAACCGATTGTGGCTGAGGCCTGAACATCAGCAGCCTTGCAAATGTGAATACCCAAGTGCCTGATGCTGAAATGTCCATGTAGCACAAATCCAACTACAGGGACTTTCAGGAATTACAAACAAGGAGTTGCTGTTGCCAAGTGTCAGCAAGTACCATATCCAGACAATTGAGGGAATCCTCCTTAGGGTGATTTAGAGTAGGACAGAAAGATGGAACAATAGAGAAAAGGTAGAAACCACCCTGGAAAGAGAAGAGGCCATAGGCCTCAAAACAACCTCGTCTTTGTGTAGAAAGGGTGGTTAAAAGGTAAGGCCACAGAAGTGACGGCAACAAGAAATGCGACCTTGCAAGTAAGGACAGACCAAGAAATATCTCTAATAGTTTCAAGCAGAGGTCTCTGAGGAACCAACAGAACCAGGTTAAGATCTCATAGAATCAGTGGGGAACGTACAAGAGGCATAATGTGGCAACCCCCTGAATGAAGGATTGAGATGCAAGCGGTTAACTGTAAAGAACTGCCAAGGACTTGACCCTTGAGGATACTTAAGGTCAATTGTTAATCCAGACCAGACTGGAGGAACGACACTACTTGCACCATTGAGAAGTTCCTGGTTTGAAGCTTTCTTGCCTCGCACCAAGAAAAACACACCATCAAGTGCGATGGCAGACTTTACAAAAAGTAAATTTCCTAGAGTTCCAGAGTGAAGGGGTAACCTAATTAGACAGACCCCTGTCCCTTAGAACCTGGGCTTGAACAGCCAAGCTGACCCATCATACTAGGTACAGAGTAAGAGATTGCCCACAAGGGTACTTACAAAGCAATGCTGAAGCAGGAAGAAGCCTTAATGCCGTCTGTGATTGGGTCACTGTAAAGCTGCCCACACACCTTACAATTTATCTGCAGATTTTCTGTGGTCAGATGGAACAGGTGCAACAGATTCCTCCATCTACACTAAACTGTGTGGGTGGAGTAATCTCCACCTGAGCCAATCTGTTGCACTTTTTCCATCTGACCACAGAAAATCTGCAGATAATTGTAAGATGTGTGGGCCGCTTAAGGCAGCAGGAAGCTCCAGGAATGTCCACAGGATCAAAACAAATGTGGTGGGATAAAAAAAGAGAAAGGTTTTCCTTCTCAGGAGGAAAGACATCTGCTCTCCTAGGACACTAGAAACAAAAACTGAGGCATGCTGGGAGTAGGAGGGGCTGTCTTCACAGCTTTGTTTTGCCAGTGTCAAATCTCCTGAAGGAAGCAGCATAACCCATTGTACCTGAATACTTTATCCTGTGTCGTTTAATGTACAATTAAGAAAGACTGTGGCCCTCTGCCCTGAGACAACAGCATGGTAACACATACATAAGGAGCACTCTACTTACCCAGGATCAGTAAGGTCAGGCCATTGAACAAGGCACCGATATAGGTGAACACCCACATCAACACTGCAAACTGAACACAACAACATCATGTAAGTGGTTTTGCACAATTCTGATACAAGTTTAAATAGCATTTACTTTTAACATGGACCCAAAGAAATCCAGCATATTTTAAGCTTTGTTATATAATAAAGATGCAAGAAGTGGCATTTCACCATTTGCCCTGATACTAACCCATCATACCACGTGACACAAGCAGCAATTAATGCTCAGCACACAGAAAGACTGTCATTCCGAAATAATTCGGATTGGTTTTTATCAACATGAATTTATAAAACTGGAAAAAGAAATGAAGATGAAGTCAAACACTACTAAAGCAGATCTTTTTGTCCATGCAAAGTGTATAAATGCTAGTCCTTTGCAAACTAAACGTAAGGCCTCATGCACATGGATGAGTGAGGACCCCTGCCACAAGAACCTGCCGATTCTCGCAGCAGGAATCCGAGGTGTGCACATTCAGATGAGGCCGCTGTGCTCATTTAAGCGAATGACAGCAGCCGCATCTATCTCGATCCGCAGGTAAATCATATCAAGTATGATTGCCATGGACTGATGCAGCCCTAGTCACCCTGTCATTAACTTGAATGGGCAGCGCAGCCGCATCTGAACGAGCCCACCAAGGATTCCTGCTGCCAGAATCTGCAGACACCGTGTGCACGAGACCTTATGGGTTCCCAAACAAATTGACATACTATTCTTACAACGCTTTTATCTTCATTTCCCCCGTCACTCTGCTGTCATATTAGTTCAGAAATTCCCCGGCGTAAGCATCTAATTCTAGGACTGAGATGCATCACAATGTGAATCACAACATCTAGACAGTTACGTTTCTGGCTGTGTAAACATGTCCCACACATCTCAGCCTCCCCGCTGTTTCTCAGATAGTGATCGCTCACTTGGACATTTGTAACCGTGTAACTAAGGGAGGAGAGAATAAGGGGGGGCATAGACAGATTCTGGGATGAGAGCAGCTACACAAACCTGTTCCTCCACAATGGCAATGGCAGGCCCTCCTCACTCAGCATCAGTAAAAATTGGTCAGGCGCTGGCCAAATCCACGGGCAAAAAGATTGCTACAAGGCACAAGATGGAGCCGGTCCCCCAGCGCCCAAATTCCCAGGAGTGGTGTCTCTCTCTACCAAAACACATGTACTGGCACTTATGGGGAGGAACAGAGGGATGTATGCACACAGGAAACAGCAGAACCAAACTCTCAGGCAAGTTATGGATGCCTCATCTAAATGAGTCTTTATAAACAGATTCTGTCAGGACGGACATATTCCTACTGAAGGATGATGATCAAAAAAGAAGGCACAGAGGGGGAATTTATCAAAACTGTTGCAGCAGTTTCCCACAGAAACCAATCAGCTTCTCTCTTCAGTTTGATCCGTGAATGATCAAAGCTGATTGGTTACTAAGGGCAAATGCCCAGATTCTGTCTGGTCCAGTTGTCATAAATTCACAGCGGCCATTCAGAGGACACCTAGTATTTCTAAAAGTGAATACAAGAAGTTCTCTGACTGAACAAGGGGCAGAAAAGTCATGATGCGCCCTTTGTCCAATCACAGGAGGAATTCTGGCACCTGGAAGATCCCTGTAAAGCACTGTAGTTGCTCCAGCGACTATAGTGTTTTACAGGATTCCGGTGGCCCACTCAAGTTGGATACATGCACGGTTACATTGGGTCAAGTTGGGCCATTGTAAGTATGCATACAAAGTAATACAAGGAGATCAGTTTTTAAAAGTATTTATGGGTTTATTTTAATGACTGCATGCGAGTGGACTTCAGAATCACTTCCCAGTCAGCTGCCTAAAATTAACCAGAATGGACACCAATGTAAAACATGGATTCCTATGCCTGAGCCAATTTCTCCTACAACAACATGTGAAGCTGCCCAATACAAAACCCAGGAACAGCGCAGCTGACAGTCCTGTAACAAAAGTTGTGTCACCGTCTGTGGAAAAGAGGAAGCTAAGAGTCCAAAGAAGGTAAGTAAGGCTGCAATTAACTAATCGATAATGAAAATAGTTGTCAACTATTCTCATTATCGGTTGGTTGGGGAGGGAAGATTTTTTTGAATGCAACCAAATCGATTACGAAAGGAATAGCTAGCTGCAGCCCTAAAGGCAAGAGGGTCAAGAAACATTTCCTTCCAGGAGCTACAAATCATCCCCCATACAGGCAAAGCATCCCAATGTGAAGCCATAGCAAGAATGTCATCTACATATGGAACATGGATGACATAAAAAGAAAGGGGAAGTCTGGGCAATAAAGAAAAGTCAACAACTAATGCTCTTTAACGACATTACAGGGAAGGAGGATAAAAAAAACCACTCAGACATTTTCATGGCTTGGGATACACTTTAGAAGTAGGAAGTGGCAATGTCCCTTTCACATGGTGCTGG